ACTAATTTTTCCTATGTCAAATAGTTAATTTTAGCAAGAGCCCATTTTAAGCCCATTTGGAGGGAGTAGTGACGTCAATTTGGATCTGAAATGGAAGAAGAAGTAAGGCATTTTTACATGGTCCAAAATTGATTAAAATATTGGCTAGAATAAAAATGGAAAATTAAATATTTTAAAATTCAAAGATTATCAAAATTGATTCAATCTTCCTCTAAAACACCACCACACCCATTTCTTCTTCCTCATTTCTTCTTCCATGGATTTGCATGAGAGGTTTAGAGAGAGAAAAGGAAAATCAACCAAACTTACCATCAAACCCACATTTCTACCTCAAAGTCTCTTCACAAAAGTTGTTCCTCTCATCAAGAGGAACATTTATATGATTTTAGTTTTTCAAGAGGATGAGTTTGGAGTGGCATAGATGGAGGAAGTAATGAAGAGAGCAAGAATAAGTTAGTATATTGAGAAGAGGTATAGAAGAGCTTCTTTTTAAGCTATTTTTCATAATTTTTGCTTGAGTTTTCATGGTGATGAGATGCTGCCCTGTTTTTTTAAAGATAATAAGGCTTGATATTTTGATGATTAAATGATAAAAAATGGCTTATAAATGATTATAGAGATGATTATTAATGAATGGTGGCTTGATTTCAAGCTTGATGTAATTTTTGGATGGCCAATTTTTAAGGAGAAATGCTACCCAATTTTCTAAAGAATTAAGAAATTATTAGTTAAGCATTTAAGTTTATGAAATATGATTTAGAACCTAGCCTTGAGACACATACATATGAAGCATGAAAATAGCTTGAAAGAAACCATAATTTAAGATCACAAATACCCAAAGTTACTATCAAGGATGGTTCAAAAGGAAGGAGTTAGAATTGGTCAAATTTGAACTTAAAAATGAGTTCCTTATGAAAAATTGAGTAGGAAAATGTTGGTACAAGAATTTTATGTCAAAGGAAAAATAAAGTGAAAAAATTAAGATAACAAAAGCAATAATTAAATAAGAGTAAGTTGTCATTTATTGACAATGTAATTATTAGCTCTAACAATTGTCATAATATTCTATTGAAAATATTTAGAGTCAATGAGTGTCATGGAAAAAAATTGGAGGTTTAATCATGGGGGATCAAATGGAAGCAAGGAAAACAAAGAAGAAATACTAAATCTAAAAGATAGTAAACTTACCTTTCATTGCATGCTTGGTATTTATGCTTGCATGGTGATATGTATGATTAGTTTCTTTGATTCTATGAATTATGAATGAATGTTTGAAACCTTGTTTTTAAGTGTTTCATGGTCCATGTATGATGTATGAGCATGTAACATGTCAATATGTTAGTTATGAAGTCATATAATGCAAGTATATGTTATGTATGAAACTTTTACCTTGTATGCTTGAATGATATTATTTACTACTAAAGTTCTCTCGAATCTCACCCCCAATGACTCACCATGTTAGGTTATAAGCCTCCAAAGAAAGAGCTAGAGTAAGAAGCAAATGTAAGTAGGATAGGAAAAATATTTTTCCTATGGCATTACTTTTATAAAAATGAGAAATGTATAAATAAGTTCATAAGCTATGTAAATTTATGATGAGGCTTTGGTATGCATAAGTGATATGTGCTGATGTATGATGACCAATATAGAGTCCTCAATTAGCCTTGAAATCATGATTTTAATATGTATGATTGTGATTGTTTAGCTTAAACTCTTTTTAGAGGAGGGTTACTATTTTATTATTTAATGTATAATAACCCATATTCAATGCTCATGAGAATTTTTATGATAAAACTTATAGATTTCTAAAAAGTCCTAAACCAGATCATTTGGACATGTACAACTTGAGTTATGAATTTTTCAAATTATGGCATAGATTCTGTCAAAGAAATAGAGCAAATTTAAAAAAAATGAATAAAATGTACTATTTGAAACTAAAAAGGGTTTAAAATGTATTTTTATCACTTAAATGACTTTAATAGCTTTCAAGATATGAATTTTCTAGATTTAGTTATGAACTTTAAAGTTCAACTCCTAAACTTACCAAATAAGCAATAATCCGGTGAATAATTTGTGAATTTTAATTTATGAGCTTCAATTTCCATTTCTCTGAACCATCTCACTCCCAATTATATTGGGAAATTTTTAAAAATTAGGATTTAACAATATATAAATCAAAATGAATCACTGGTTTATTCCATATAAAAGGCTATACAATACTTACCCTGCAACGGCTAGTTGAGGAAGCGAGATAATGATGTTTCTTCCATAAGGAAATTAAATATAAAATTGTCACAATAATGGTACCCTTGTTACATATGATTCACATGTCAAAGACACCTCAATGATCATTAGCAAAAAGACTTTTCACCATTGCATTTTGGACTTGCTCTTGAGACAAGAAGCAACTGCATTGCACAAACAAAATATATCCATGTCAGGGCCAAAAAACAATTGATGAAATGCACCAGATTTGCCAAGCCACACAAATTGATCAACAAACAAGGATTCAAGGAAGTTGACAGCACTGCATTACTGGACTACGAAAAAAGAGAGGCATTAAATATTATATCAAGGTAAGGATAAGGAGCAAAATAAATATTTTGAAACTTTCTTCATGATAATCAAAGCTGAAGAACAAAAATTAAAGAGATAATAAAATTTTTAATCCATTAAATTTGTCTCTATTATTGATTTAGGCTTTTTAAGTTTAATTTTGATTTATTATTTTTTTATATTTTTTAAATTATCATTTTATTAGTTACTTATGTTTTAAAACACAAATTTATTCTATCAAAACATTAATGAAGTCTATGAACAAGGCGCAGCCCAACAAACTTAAGCCCAAGATAATAAACATGGACCAAAGGGTTGAGCCCACTAGAACTGAGAATCCATTTGATGGTATTTATTTGTTATTGTTCATTATTCATTGTACACATGGTCTCTATATAAAGCTCTAGGGTTTCAGTATCTCCTCTATATAAGGAATAATTAGCCTTGGGTTTTGTGAACAATATATTACACTTTCCTTCTTGATATTTTCTCATCCCAAATAATATATGAAGTATTTTAATAACTCAATATGTATACGTTAGTAAATGAAAATAAGTTAACTTTTAAATTAGTTTAATTTTTATTAATCTAGTACCTCACACAACATTTTTGTTCTTTTTTTCTTTAAATTTTTAAGTCTTTTTTTCTACCAAAATAATTTGTTTTTTTAATTTTGTTATTTATGTCAGCAAAGTTTTACATTGTTACCTCCTATTTATACAATAAAGACTAAATCAATAATTAAAACAACTTAATGAACCAAATTCATAAAAATTAAACTTGAAAGACTAAATTGATAATAAAGCAAATTTGAAAATATTAAAAATTTCATTATCCCAAAATTAAAACACAATTCTAGTGTTCAAAAAGGGCAGTTTTAGCCCAACAAACATTTTAATCCACTTTAACACTATGCAAAAGAATAATTAAAATTTCAGGCACATTGAATAGAATGAGCACAAATTTATTTTCACATGTTAGGGGAAAGAGCAAGACAACTTAGCACAAAGACAAAATCTCATCAGGTCACAAAATAAAATATTCAAAATATTAACTGACAAAAATCATAAAATTTCAGCAATCATTTACAAACTCTCAATTATAAGTCATGCTCAGACTAACACACCTGTCAAAACAAAGCAAGGCAACAAAATTATACCATAAAAAATGATGAAGATTTATTTATTAGTCATAAAGGAGACACTGCAAACAAGAAATGATAATGGACAAATTAGTTAAGGTCAGCCTAGGGTGATCCATTAAGACTTCATATCTTACATAAATTGAAATACTATCAACAAGCTTTGTGTTTTTCTCTTTTACTTCCTCCAATCCTATAACGAGATCTTACCTATAACTTGTTTTTTTTTTTTTGGCCTGAAAATGCACTTACTATATGTTGATAATATACTAGAGTTTTACGAAATTAAATGCAGCATTTGAATAATCTTAAAAATACCTTTGTTTATTTCACTTTTGGTTTAACTAACAGATATAATTTGATTAAAGGTAATCTTCAAAAGTTGTAAAAAGTTTTCGCATGTAAATAGCTTCATTAATTTCACAAAAGTTTCAGATACTATAAATAAACAACAATTTATTTTATTCCAAAAACGACCTATTTTATAATCACACAAATTACGTTAGAATTTGTTATCAGAAGTATATGAAAATTATATAGAACAATTTGGTGATTCAAAAAATATTATCCTCACAAATAAAATGTAAATACAGGATCAATCAATAAATAGAAAGTTAAAACAAAGTAGATAGCAAAAGTACACTCTTAAAAAAAAATTACATCTATCTCCAACAAATATATGTGTGTGTGTTGTTTTGTATGTGTTGTTGGTATGATCTACAATAGTTATTATACACATTAGAGTACTATACTGTATAAAAACTATGTAGAGAAATAATAAACAAAACACACACACACACACACACATTAAAGAATTGTTAAAAAAAAATTGGACGAAATTTGGAAAAAGGCATACTTATTTCTTCAATAAGGTGTAAATATTGAAATAATAAATACAATATTGTAAAATAAATCACCACTTTAATTTAGTATATCTAAGCATAGAAGAAATATTTGATTACTTTTTTTTAATCAAGAGTGATTTTAAGATAATAGTAGTGAAGGTGAGCTTATAAATAAAAAGCAAAGAAGGGAGAGACACCTGCAAAGACATATCGAAGAAACTGTATGTGTGGGTGGTGATGCTTTCTTTGCTGTTGCGAATAAATTTCAGTTGCAAGGGGTGACAGGTGAAGTTGTCATGAGATTTGTTGGAGGGAGTCGTTCTTCATCTAAGTCCGACTGTGACTTATATGTCACGTGCACTCCACATGCTTTCATTGGAACTTTCTCTACCTCTCTATTATCTTGATAAACATCATTGCAATATTTCACATAGAATTCACATGAAATCTTGGCAACATTACCTGTTCCAGCGCCAAACGAAGCCCTTCTCAATTCCTTCCCCTTCCAGGTTCCATATGTAAACATGAGACGGCTCCATTTTACACCCACAATATAAAGGAAATGAATTGCAGGACTTGTTGCTATCATTATAAGAGAAATCACAATAGATACTTTGCACGGAAGGTAAGCAGAGATGAGGAGGAACAACGCAGCAACCTAAGATGGTGGGTGATCGTTCGAGATTGCAAATGAATTCGATAGCATTGGAAGCCTCTGTCTGATGTTTATATTCCATCCATTTTGGAACTCTGCTTCCCGCGTAACAAGCCCCAACATTAGGAAGCCACTTAGCCTTGGCTGAAGTGAAAGAGAAATGAGTTAGTTTCTCAATGAAGCGAAGAGAACACTCATCCAACTTTATACACTCCTGGAAATCAAATCGACATGGATTTTGAACTAGAGAGTCAGAAAATATGATCTCCAATGAAGTGCATCCTTCAGCATCTAAATCTTCAAGGAAGGGAGGAAGTCCAAGTATAGACTTAAGCATCTCACAGTCTCTCAGGGAAATGTGTTTCAAGCTTGTTAAGGCCTTGATATTGTCAGGGATTTCCAGCAAGTAACTACAGTCTCTCAGGGAAATTACGCCAAGCATCAAAAAGAAAGCGCAGCGCTATTGTGTGAATCACCTGCTGGAAATCCCAAATTTCAAATGCCTCAAGATTTGTCAAGCTACATAGCTCACTTATCGGAAGGCTCCTTAATCTTTCACCAAAAATCTTAAGATCTTTGAGTTCCGTGAAACCTCCCATTGGTAGCAAATGCAATATTTCAACTCCAGTCCCTCGAAACACAAACTTCCCAATTTCTTTGATGATAAAGAGAATTTCTTGAGGCTTTGACAATCATGAACACCAAGGTCAGAGAGAGATTCTAAATGAGTCTCACTTTCAAGGCTCTCTAATTTCCTGCAATTAGAGACATCTAAGTCAATAAGAGATTGGAGAGATAAAATAGATGGATGAACACTATGTAGACTTTCACAACCCTCGAGATAGACTCCTTCAAGATTACGTGCCATAGAGAAATTAGGCAGCTCCACCAATTGTTTACACCCAAGGCAACCATAATGTCTTTAAATTCACAAGATCCTGTGACAATGAACGGAAAAGTTTTACACATAAAAGCCTAACAATTTAATTAAATTGAAGAGAGAGAGACACACACATACTAATTAGCATGTGTGTACAAGTACCTGCACTCCATCCCAAAGCTTTTTTTAATATTGCTGTGTGCCATACGAATTTCAACAAGGTTCTTAACACAAAAGCCCAACGACAAAGACTCTAGTGGACATTGTTCCCAATAAAAATACCTTAATTTATTAGGAAAAGAGGCATGATCAAGACTCTTTAATTTCCCACAACGAGAGAGATCCAATATAACAAGAGATTGAAGAGATAAAATAGATGGATGGACACTACGTAAACTTTTACATCCCGAGAGATCTACTTTTTCAAGATTATGTGCCCTAGAGAAATCAGGCAGCTCCATCAACTGTTTGGACCCCCTCAAATGTAATATCTTTAAATTCACAAGATCCTGTGACAATGGAAACGGAAAAAATTTTTAAGCATAGAAGCCTAATAATTTAATTAAATTGAACAAACACACACCTCAATTAGTGTATATATATAAGTACCTGCACTCCATCCCAAAGTTTTTTAATATTGCTGCGTTGCATGCGTAGCACACCAAGGTTCTCAAAACAATAGCCTTCTAATGGCAAAGACTCCAATGGATATAGATCCCAATGAAAATAACTTAATTTATTAGGAAAAGAGCCAAGATCAAAAGGAAGCTCTGAATTATTTGCATCATAGTACCGAAACATAGGACAAAAAATTTTGAGAATTCTTAAATTTTTCATCTTTGTGAAGGTATCAGGGCTCAATCATAAATGATTTATTCTATTCCAATCCAATATGATGCCTTCAATTTTATCAGTTCCCTAAAAAAAAGACAAAATAAAAATAATATTAATTATTTAAAAAAGTTATTCCAAAAGGATAAAAATAAAAAATGATATATATTTCACTCACCTTGTTCCTTTGCAATACATTACAAATTTCATCCGCATCATTTAATCGGCTACGTAATGCAGGATCTTTCTTACATTCCACACGAACTATTTGCTCAGCCACTTGTCGTATCAAATCATGCATTTCGATATTTTCATCATGCAACCAACCTGGTTTTATGAGAGATTTATCCATGAGATTTTGGATTCCACTAACTGCTTTGAAACCACAAGATTCTAGCGCCTGAGTAACGCTATCTTTTTCTTCTCCAATGAAAAAAAATGCAATGTCTAAAAATATTTCCTTATCCATGTCATCTAATTCATCATAACTAACTTTCAATATATTTTGAATTTCTGGACGGGGATACTTTCTGAGTTTCTCGAGCTCACTCTCCCAGTATGCCTTATCTCTAGAATGAAAATGGGAACCCAAAACTTCTAAAGCTAGAGGAATGCCTTTAGCATAGGCAACTGTCATTTCTGATAGCTTTTCATATCCCATACTGGGGTGAGTTTGCTTGAAGGCATGTAAACTAAAAAGTTTTAGTGATTCTTCAAAATTCAACTCCTTGACTTCATGTATATATTCATCATGAATCCCTCCACTCCTAAAAACATGCTTGTCTCTACTTGTTACAATTACTCTACTGCCAGATCCCAAGCAAAGTTGTTGTCCAGCTAGATCTTTTAATTGCTTTGAATTGGACACATCATCAAGCACAATCAAGACCTTTTTCCGTGATAGCCTTCTTTGCATAATTCATTTTTATGGGGAGATCTTCATCTTGGTCTAATAGCTTAGAAAGAAGCTTTTGACGCAAATAACGCAAACCATTGATCCTTGTTGATTCCTCTCTCACATTTTCTATGAAGCAGCAACTTTCAAATTGAGAAGAGAATTTGTCAAATGTAGCTCGAGCCAGGGTTGTTTTGCCTATCCCACCAACACCCCAAATACCAAGAACTAGAACTTCTTGTGACGTAATTTTCATTAATGATTCAACAATGGCGAGATTTTGATCAAATCCAACTAGATGGGATTGTGGCGCAACCGGGTTGTTATCTTCCAATTTTTTTAGGACATCTTGGACTATTGCATCAATGAGCTGTGATTCGTTTCTAGCATGTTGAAAATAAAAGAAAAGAAAATTATTACGAGCTACTCATTATATAAGAATAATAAATGCATAGACATAATTTGTATTACCATATTCTAAATCATTTAGGGGTAACTAAGAAAGGGCTTTAGAAACTCTATAAAATGATGTATTAAATAACTAAAACTTACTGAAAATTTGATGAATGATAACCAGATAAGTCTGCGGTTTTCTTCAAGGCAGATCTCCAATTTTTCAACTCGTTTGAGTTATCCTTGAACTTCAGTTCAAGATGTGCAAATGCATCTGCATAAGTTCGTTTTTGACGCCTGACATCTGAAGGATCTACACAATAGAAAACTGGTAACACAATTTGTCCACTTGCTTCCTTACATTCCATGATTTTGACAAGTTCTTGCAAGCACCACTCTGAAGAAGCATAATCTTTGGAGAATATGACCAACGCAATCATTGATCCTTCTATGGCTTCCTTAAGTGCCAATGATATTTCATCCCCTCTCTCAAGCCTGTCATCCACATAGACATCTATCTGCTTTCCACGCAATGCCGTTGTCAAATGGCTGAGAAAACCAAATCTGATGTCTGAACCTCGAAAGCTGATGAAAACATCATATTTCACTCGGGAAGAAGAAGCAGAAGCAAACACAGCATTGCTGAGGCACCAAAAACAAAAGAAACAAAGTTTTATAGGTTGTTGATTTTACAAAGACACAGAAAGAAAAGCGTTCAAGTTGTTAGGGAAGGAGGGAGAAAGATCAGAAGAATACCTTGGTGGGAGTAACTAAATCAAATCAAAGGTTGAAGTCTTGAAGTTGATTGGGCGAATTTGCTTATCCTGCGAATTAGATCGACACAACAGAAAAATGAGTCTGAGTATATTGAGCCTTTGTTCAAATTGAAGTTAACAAGGAAATTTCCAGGAAGTAGACAAATGAGTCAATGAGCCTTGACTGGTGAGGCATTGTTTTTATTGAAAGATAAAACTGTCGGTGGAAATTTCTTGTTTAAAATAAGAAGAAATTTCCAAGAAATAATGAAAAACTTTGGTCCCCAGCTCTTTTTGACTACAAGTCAACAGCCCTTTCTCTTTTGAGTTTTTCTTGTTTAAAGTAATTAAAAACTTTTAGAAAGTCTTGAAAATAAATTAATTAAAGAAGAAAGTGAGTAGCAATTTCAAAGAAATATGAAAATTTATCTTTTCCTGATTCTTTTTGACTCTGTCAAAATGTGTTTTTTTCTGTTTTTTTTTTTGGGTCCGTTTTCTGGTTTTCAGACACGGTTTATTGTACTATGAAGTAGGATTTTCCATGAAGATGTAACAAAAATGGGTCTGTACAAAGATTGTTTATTTGTTTCCCACGTCCAAATAAGAAAAAAATATATTTCTTTTTTGTTTGATTTTAAGGGGCTTTACCGCAAAACTTCTTAATTATTGTTCCCTCCCATTATAATATATGTCATCAGCTAAAAATATTATTTTATCTAAAATATAAGATATTAAATATTTGTTATAATTATTTTTTAACTATATCCTTACTAATTCATTTATTATTTTATAAAAAAATGATATATTGGAATTTAAATTGCCATTATCAAAACACTTATATAGAGTGTTTAATAAGGATATGATTAAAAATGTAATTTTTTTAAGGTTTTACCTAAATTTTTTTGAGAACCTTGAAGTAATTACTTATTAATATCTTATATTGTGATTAAGAGAAAGTATGTGATAGTAATTAACAATTAACTATTGAGAATATATGACAATTGAATAAGTGAGGCTCTAACTTTCTTAAAAAACCAAGGTCTTATCATGAAATTACAAAATTAATCACAGAAGAGTAAGAGTAAAGTTGTACTAGTACATATGATTTAGTACATTTCTTATGCTGTTACACACACACACACACACACACACACACAATTTAGAAGACTTAATTTATGTTATTTTTTAAAAAAATTAATCATTTAATTTTTGTAATTTTAACTTAGTTGTAACTCAATCTCTAAACTTTGATTCGTTATAACTCAGTCTTTATAGTTTTAACTCGGTTGTAACTCAGTTTTTAAACTTTGCCTCTTGCAATTTAGTTCCTATAGTTTCAACTACTTAAATATCGATCCCTATATTTTAAAAAAATAGAATTATAAAGATTAAAAATATTTTGAATCTTTATTATTTATAATATTTAAAAATTAAAAGATTAAAATTATAATATTTTGAAATTTTAATATTTATAATATTAGTAAAAAAATTATAAGATTATAATTATGTTAAAATTTATTACTAATATTTTAAATTATTAAACCCTTTTAATCTTTATAAATATTATAAATATTAAAGGCTTAAAATATTTTTAATCTTTACACTTTTATTTTTAAAATATAAGAATCAATATTTAAGTGGTTAAAACTATAGGGACTAATTGTAAAAGGAAAAGTTCAAGAATTGAGTTACAACCGAGTTAAAACTATAAGAATTGTGTTACAATGAGTCAAAGTTTAGGAATTGGGTTATAATTGAACCAAAATTACATAGACTAAATAATTAATTTTTTCTATTTTTTAGAAGGTATTTATGTGTATTTTATGGATTTTTTTCATTTTTGAAGTTATTTTTAAGTCAACTAATAATCAAAATTAACTCTTTTAATGACCTTGTGTTTAATGTATTATTTCCAAATTTTGAAAGAGGAATTATACCATATGAAAGTTTAAAATATTAGATACTCCTAAATGAATAGCAGAGGGGTAAAAATAATCATTAACTTAATAATAATCATAATAAATTTATATTTAAGAATCCAAACTATAATAAATAAATATGGGTACTATTGAAACATAAAATTAACTAATCTAACTTCAATTATATTAAGAAAATGAGCTTTTCAAAATTTTTCTTTCATTAAGAACGTAAGAGAATAATCAAGGACTTGTTTAGCTTTTATTCTCACTTTTTGTTTTTAAAAATTATTTTGTAAACCAATTTTTGAAAGTTGTTTTCAAAACAAAAAATAGAAGTATATTTAAGTAGCTTAATTTAAAAATAATCTAAAAATAAAATTTTCCTAATAATGACAATAATTAGTGGCTAATGAGTAATGATGGTAGTTTATGATAGTGATTGGTGAAATGATTATAATTTTAAATAATCAAATTTAAAATGTATCTTGTAAAACATGAAAAATAAAATAAAAAATAACCTTAAAATGTTTCTATTTTTTTTAAAGCAAAAAATGAAAGTAATTTAGGAAACAATTAAATTTGTAACACTTATTTAAATGAGTTTTAAAATTTTTTATTTTCAAAAATAGAAAACAAATTTTAAAAACAGAACAACTTTTTCAATTTTCTTATTGTATTCAAATGAGTACAAGCCTTTTCTCTTTTGTGTTTCTAGTTTTGTTTAAATTGAGCAAAACTTTCTTGTACCAACTGAAAATAAAAAAGGAAGGTACGCAGAAATTTCAACATAATATGAAAAAATAATCTTCATGAATCATAAGCCCTTTTTGACCCGGTCAAAAAAGTTTTTTCTTTTTTGGGAGAAAATGTTATCCAAGAATCCGCGGAGAGATTTTATATAAGAGAAGGACCTTTTGTTTTTTTGGCCAAAAGCAAAAGAGAAGGGCCTGAAAAATTTACTGCATTCCCCAATGCCTGCATGACAATAAAATTTTTATGAGAAAAGATCTAAACACTCTTAAAATCTCTTAAAATTATATAGATGTGTGCATAAATAACGGTTCATTTAAGTTTTGACAAATAATCATACATAATTAATAATAATTTATTTAAAAATGAATAAGTTACAAAATCTAATAATATAAGTTTAATTGTACAAGTATTAGTTATCCATAAACAAACATCTATTTAAGTTTTAACAAGTAATCTTACATATAATTAACAATAACTCATTTAAAATTAATAATTAATTATAATTAATAGTACATATTTAATTGTTCATGTGTTGGTCATACATAAACAAGCTTCTATTTGAGTTTTGACAAATAATTCATTTAAAATTAACAAATGACCATAACTGATGCACATATTTAATTTATTTAAGTGTTAGTAATGTATAAATAAGTTCCATAATATTGAGCCTTTGTTCAAATTAACTTAACAGGGAAATTTCCAGGAAGTAGAAAAGTGTGCTAATGATCCTTGTCTAGTGAGTCATTATTCTTATTGCGCGTTAAAACTGTTGGTGGAAATTTCTTGTTTAAAATAAGAAGAAATTTCCATGAAATTTTGAAAAACTTTCGTCCCCAACTGCAAGTCAACATCACCTTCTTTTTTAGGTTTTTCTTGTTTAAAGTAATTAAAAATACTTAACCTTTATGTCCAAATAAAAAAAAACTCTTCATTTTTATTTTTATTTCAAACTAATTAAAAATTTTCTTTTAGCAATGAAGAGAGGAAGTTCAAAAAATGATAATAAAAGCCCATCAAAATATATAAATAATAATTCAATCTCTTAAAATATTATAATTTTTGTAAAATTTTTATATACCTTTTTGATATTAGTAATTTTAGATTAAATAATTAAATTATTATCTGTTTTAAAAAAAAATAACAGGTGTATTTTTATTTTCTCAATCACAACAATTCAGTGAATCGTAAAAATTGAATAACTTGCTCACAAAATTTTTTATAATTAATAAATAAGTTCTAAAAATAATTAATTTTAATTATAAATTTTATTTTTTTACCAATAAAATTATAACTTTTATTTGAACAATCACAACTTTTATTTTAAATTATAAAATTTAAATAAAAAATTATAACTTTTTAAGTAAAATTTTTTTATTATTAAAGTTTAAATTCTAAAAATAATCAATTACAACTTTTATTTTGTGTATCGTAAGAATTCAACAAAAAATTGCAACTTTCCATGTGATTTTTTTATCATTAAATTTATATTTTAAAAATAATTAATTATAATTTTTTGTTTAAACGATCATAATTTTTACTTTGTGAATTATAAAAATTAAATAAAAAATTATAATTTTTTACATGCACCCATTATTTTTTTCTATATTAAACAAGGCATAATAGTTATTTAATCTAAAATTATTCATATAAAAAAGATATCTCAAAATTTAAAAAAATTATGATATTTTAAAAAAATTAATTATATTTTGATCAGAAAAAAATTTAATTATTATTTATATATTTTTGATAGATTTTATTGACATCTTTTCACAAAAGGGCGTAGAAATTTTAACGAAATAATGAAAATTTATCTTTTGCTAACTCTTTTTGACTCAGTCAAATGAACTTTTTCTGCATTTTTTTTTTCCCAATTTGCCACTTTTTCTGCTTTTCAGACGCGGTTCATTGTACGATGAAGTTAAGATTTTCCACGAAGATGCAAAAATATTTCTTTTTTGATTGATTTTAAGGGGCTTTATTTGGCCCCAAAACTTCTTAATCATTACTCCCTCAATCATAGTACTGCACGTCTTCTAAAAAATTTATTTGGCATAGCATATGGAATATTATATATTTTTTATAATTATGTTTTAACCATATCCTTACTAATTTATTTATTATTTTTTAAAATAATACATTGAAATTTCAATTTTCTTTATTAAAGAACTTTTATAAAATATTTAAGAAGGATATAATTAAAAATATTAAATTATTTTTAAGATACCAAGGCTTTATTTAAACTTTTTAAGAATCATGAAGTGATTACTTATTAATATCCCATATTGTGGTTAAGAGAAAATATGTAATATGTAATTAACCATTGAGAATATTAATTAACTATGACAATTAAATAAGTAAGGCTCTAGCTTTATTAGAAAACCAAGTTCTTATCCTGCAGTTACAAAATTAATTACGTACAAGTAAAGTTACACTTATACCTATGATTTAGTACATTTCTTATCATGTTTTTTATATATAAT